AGCATGAGTGCTGGGGTATCCTTGCTAATGAAATGTTACATCAGATCTTGGTTCTGGTAGCATTAACTACTTAACTAGTATGTTCTCCATGAACATCACATATTATTGGTATATCCAGATGTGGCAAAAAGTAGGCAAGTTTTTTCTCACCTAATTGACGAGGCATAGGCAAAGGCATTAGCTGAAGGGGTAGTTTCATCTTGCAACTCTTTAGATATAGGCTGGTTTTTTTTTTTTTTTTGAGATAAGTTCAGATATAGGGTGTTAAACAGAAGATATATTAGTAGGTGTTATGATTAGGTGGAGGGTTAAGGTTGCCTACTGGAGACTAAATTCCTGGGGAAAATATTAATGAAATTAGGGATAAAAGTTCTAATAATGATAAAAAATAAGAATGGAAGTGGTGTAGGAATAGTCATAGGTAAGAGTTTATAGTAAATCAATAAATAGCTTAATGCAATTGGCGATGAATAACTATCCTAATGAAATTGGGAATAATGAAGTCCACTTAAATGAGTAGTGCTTTTGACACCCAAAAAAAGGAAAAAAAAAAAAAAAAACCAGCAGTGCTTATGCTTCTCAAATAGAACTAATTGTTGAACTAAACAATGCTTTTGGGAGGATATTGGATGTGCCGATCCTGAGAAATACATTTTGAAGATAATATCATTGAAGAGTACACTCACAACTCGATAATGGCAACCAGTAGAAATGCTGAAGGAATAAGCTGCACCACTTGTTTTGATTTTTTGATGGCATCTGATGCAGTGTTAGTGAATACATGCTTTAAGGACTTAATTTTTATTGGAAAATATGGACTCTCATTTTACTACCTTTAAAAGCAAGTAGTAAACAAGTTGAACAGATTTCTTTCTTACTAGAAAGTCTAGAATGATTGATGGACACCATGTAAAGGGTATGACTTTATAAGTGGAGAGAAAATAACATGAATAGTTTACTAAATGTTTATTTGTCCTTCTAGAAGTCTAGAACAACTTCTTTCATTATAGCATGCATCTTTTCTAAAGTAGAATTCAACTTCTAGAGGCCTAAGTTAAAGCTTTTGAAAAGGCACTCATATATAGGTAGATGTTTTAATATAATGAAAATTCATGAACTTCCATGATTACCAACGATGATCCTATATAATTTTACATTACCAACTTCAGGAAAAGCTCTACCCAAGCAACACTTCTATAAAAGCTTCAGCTAAGCCAACCAGGTGGTTAAAAGTGTGACTTTGAGTTTTGCACTAACTTTTCTATGTTAATACCCAAAGTTTAAAACCTTAATTTTTGGGTTGAGGTCAGGGATTGAAAAAAGGCTTCCAAATATTTCTGATGAATCTTGGTCCTCTGTCCTCTATATTTTGTCTTGTTTTCCCTAAAAATGTCTTCTGTACTTCATATAGATGTTTTTCATTAAGTTAATATAAGATTGGCAATTATTCTGTTACAGGAGATCAGACTGTCACATTTAGCCAGGTTGTTCTTGAAGTTATGAGACACCTTGAGGGAGCATATGCCCTCATTTTCAAAAGCCAACATTACCCAAATGAGTTGATTGCATGCAAACGTGGAAGTCCATTGCTCTTAGGTGTCAAAGTAGGTAACATTACAAATTCTTAGTTGTGAAAGTAATAATACAAATATATGGTTTATAAGTTCACATTTGCCTTCTAATCTTATTTATTCTCAACTAGAGAATTTGTTTTATGAATTCTTTTTGTTACTATGTTTTGCAATGTGATCTTAATATTCTAGGGATCCTTTTACCGTCACTTCTGTTGTCTTCTTTTTGTTTCTGTTGTCAGAAAATATGAAAAATTAACCAGCAGTTTCCACAACTTTAAAAATTCAAAACAATGTGTTTTCACTTGTGAAATCCAGTTTCTAAGAAAACACAGTATGAATGTTTTACGTTTTGCTCCATCACATGGAAAGCTAATCCTGTTGCAGGTAGTTGGGTAAATTGTAATTGTGATTTTTACTCTATTTCTATTTCTTATTCTAGATCTTTATATATGATTTTGGTTACAGTTGCACACTGCAGTTATTGTGGTTAGCCATGGGAGGACTGCCTTGATATTTTATTCCTCTTCTTTTTCTAATACAATTTAAATCCCTAAGAAGGAAAAAGTATAAAATTTTGTTGACACTGGAAGCTGTAAAGGGAATTGTACAAATGATTGACTGTTTCGATTAAACGTAGTTCTGGATCCTGCGCATAGTTTTCTGCTTGTCATTTTTATTGCAAACTATTTGTCTGAATGAAACTTGTCTTGATGTAAGAAACTGTTGTTATTTTAGGAATTAAATGAAGATATATGCAACGGATCAGCCTTTTCTGATTCTAAATTTGTCTCAAAGGATGGGGCTCCTAAAGAACTTTTTCTATCTAGTGATGCCAATGCTCTTATTGAGCACACAAAGAAAGTCTTAGTCATTGAGGATGGTGAAGTGGTTCATCTTAAGGTAACTTCTTTTTCCCGTTTAAGAAGTTGTCTGACTTCTGTTTTGTTTCTGTTTTCATGTGTCTTTTACCTTTCAGATTGTTATATTTTATCTCTTTTCTTGTTTCACTCTTGCCTTCCTCCTCTTTTTCTCTCTCTGCCATGGTCTTACTCTTTTCAAAAAATTTTGTTGTTTGATAATTTCTTCAGGATGGAGGTGTCTCAATCTTAAAGTTTGAAAATGACAAGGGCAGGCGTGGAAGTGGTCTTTCTAGACCTGCCTCAGTGCAACGTGCATTATCTGTTCTCGAAATGGAGGTCGAGCAAATAAATAAAGGAAAATATGAGCATTACATGCAGAAAGAAATTCATGAACAGCCAGAATCTCTAACAACCACAATGAGAGGGAGGCTTATATGTGGAGGTTCCTGCAAATCTCAGACTGTTCTTCTAGGTGGACTAAAGGATCACCTTAAAACGATTAGGAGAAGTCGGCGGATTGTTTTCATTGGATGTGGCACCAGTTATAATGCTGCTCTAGCTGCAAGACCCATCTTGGAGGAACTTTCTGGTAAATGTTGTTTATTTGGCAGCAGAACTTTGATATTTAAAATATGCTCTCATTTTCCCCCTTTTACCTCCTT